CAGAAAAAAATAGAAAGAGGAAATGAAAAAAAGTGAGAGAGATCAAAAAAAGAGATAACAAGATAGAGAGAGAGAGAGAGATTGAAGATTAGGAAGTAAAAGAAAAATTGTGAGAGAAAAACTGAAAAAGGTGAGAGAAAAAGTCACAGTAAACGGTTAGAGAGAAATTGAGATAATGTTAAAATATAAATATTATTTAAATTTAAATATAAGAAAGAGAAACAAGTAGCAAGAGAGAGAGAGAGAGAGAGAGAGAGAGAGAGAGAGAGAGAGAGAGAGAGAGAGAGAGTGAGAAAGTTAAAAAAGGAGAAAAGGAAGAAAGAAATAGAAGAATGCAGAGACAGGAAAATGAGACGGAAGAGATAAAAGAACGGAGACAAAGTGAAAAATAACAAAATAAATGGAAAAATAAAGAAAAAAAGAGAGAATGAGAGAGGAAAGACAGAGAGAAAAGCCTCATTAAAAACCCTACAAATAAAGATGTGGAAACTACATAAAATACTACTACTGCTTTTACTGCGGCTGCTACTACTACTGCTACTACTACTACTACAACTGCTACAACTACTACTGCTACAACTACTATTGTTAATACCATCACAATTTATGTATGTATGTTGATATGTATGTGCGTGTGTATGTATGCACGCGTGTGTGATGCGTGTGGATGCATGTATTTGTGTGTATGTGTATATTATGTACATATGCATGTGTGTATTAATGTTGGTATGGGGTTTTAAAAAGATGTATATTCAGAATTCATCATCATTTTATTGCACACAGTCTTAATGGCTATAACCCTTTTCATTGTATAAATACAGACATTAGATGCTGTCTTGTCTGCCTTTATGTTTGTTCGTGTATATGTTTGCATGTTTGTAGAATGTTGTGTTTGTTTTGTGGGATTGTCTGTATGTTTATACACGAGGGCAGACAGACACACTCACACACACACACACACACACATATATAAATAATTATTTATTTATTGATTTATTTTGTTTATTGTGCCATGTTAGATTAAGGAAATAATGAAGACTGTGTTTTTTTCTTATAATTTTTTCGTTGAAAGGCACTGATAACCCTTTATTTTTGTTGATTATGACATGATATTTTTTTTGATAGCGCTTTTGAGATCCTTTGAATTAGCGCTTTATTAAAATTTTCATTAATAATAATAATAATTTATATTTATATTTGTGTTTTAATAATTACAAACGACATTCTGATAAAAATGTAAGAGTTGATTACTTAATAATTTTGATTCCATTTTTGTTTTTTTTAAGGATTTGTAATATAAATGTGAGTTTACATGAACTAAAATATTTAAAATATGCTTTCCTTTTTATAATCGTCACTGGTAATCTTACAAGAAAACCATGTTTTCTTTTCGATTTTCAGATCATTTCTTTTCATTGATATCATTTCTTTGATTTCTTGGTTTGATGAAATGAAAATTTCAAATGTCAAATATATAATGTCTGTATATATAAATATATATATATATAAATATATATGTTGGTAATAGACCATAATTTTTACAATATTCTATAAATTCTACCGAATGTTTGGCGTTAATATGTTTGTAGTTCGATTTTTCTCACTAAAGTTTTTTGGTGAACGTTTAGTTTATTAAAATTCAAAATAAACTTATTTTTCGAATTCATGCTGTAAATAAGGCCATATTTCGATTCCGAATGAATCATCGTCAGTGCTCCTTGTTGTATACATAGGGAAATATTGACTTTGTCAAGATAAACTTTGACGTTGTAAAAATTAACTTTGGTGTTGTAAAATTGAACTTTGATGCGAATTAGGTGTCAAGTTTCTTAATTGGTTGGTCATCTTCTTTGTCTCCTTTTCTTCATCGATAGCATCATATTCTTCTTTGTCACTGTTTACGATGCTAGTTTTTATTACTTCTTTGTTTTCGTTGTTGGTTAAGCGCCGGGTTGGAAGTGAGGTTGTCATTTTTTGTTGTATATTTATTTTTGGTTTGGTTTTTGGTAACAAAGAAGCCAATTAAGAAACTTGACACATAATTCGCATCAAAGTTCAATTTTACAACACCAAAGTTAATTTTTACAACGTCAAAGTTAATCTTGACAAAGTCAATATTTCCCTATATATACAACAAGGAGCACTGACGATGATTCATTCGGAATCGAAATATGGCCTTATTTGCAGCATGAATTCGAAAAATAAGTTTATTTTGAATTTTAATAAACTAAACGTTCACCAAAAAACTTTAGTGAGAAAAATCGAAAAAACGAACTACAAACATATTAACGCCAAACATTCGGTAGAATTTATAGAATATTATATAAATATATATTTATATAAATATATATATATATATATATATATATATATATATATATATACATATTTGCAATAACAATAATATAAGCATGCAAACACGACTGTGTCTGTATTTGAATGTATGTGTTTTTATGTGTGCATGTGTGTGTATGTTTGTATGCATATTTGTTTGTATGTTTGTATGCATGTTTGTTTGTAGGTTAGCATGCATATTTGTTTGTATGTATACATTTTTTTTCATGATGTTTTTTTTTCTGAAGCCAGACGCTTTTATCTGCTAATTTATTTTTTTCAAATGAATGTGAGAGAGGAAAAAGTTTTTTCAGCCTTTTACTTTGTATTTTTTGGTAAATCTCTTGTATTGTTGTGTATATCTTTTGTAACATTTTGTATCTTTTGTATTATTTTTGTATTCATTTGCTTGTATGTTTGAATGTTAATTCAATCACGGAGGTTGTTGCTAATGATGTTGGTCTGGCTGAGGTGACGATTTTTGTGAAAGTGGTAATAGTTGTAACAGCAAATGCTGACTTTGTTTATGGACATTTCAATAAGTTTTGGTAGCAGCAGCGTTGGTAGCAGCTACAGCAGCAACTGGTATAGTAGTTATAGTAGTATTAAAAGTAGTAATTGTTGTTTTTGTAATTTTTTAGTTGTTATTTTGGTGGTGTTCTTTTACGTACGCTATTGACTTTTTAATGCATTCGCGATTGTCGATGTTGTCATTGTTTATACAGTTGTTGTTGTTGACGGCATTGATGACGTCATTGATGATGTCACTGGCGTATTAATTGCTGCTTTCATGGTAGTAATAACCCGTTATCGGTTCTAATATTTTTTTTATTGTTGATTTTCGTGGCCCTACCTATAATGCTGGTTTTGTTTATGGACATTTCAATGACAATCAATAAGCTGTTATTAAAGTGGTAGTAGTAGCAGCAGCAGTAGCAGCAGTAGCAGCAGCAGTAACAGTAGTAGTAGCAGTAGTAGTAGCAGTATTAAGAGTAGTTGTAGTAGTGGTACTTTCTTTAGTAGTAATACACTCCCTTGACAACGTTAATGTAAAAAAATTATTACATTTAATTCAACAACAATAAACGTCACACTCCTATACACACACACACGCACACATACACAAACACATACACGCATAGACACACACACACAAACACACACACACACTCACAAACATACAAACACACACACAAACATTCAAACACACACACACACGCATAGACACACGCACACATAAACATAAATACACATTCCACACTTATCACGTCTCATCAACTTATCAACGATTTCTAATACGACAGATCAAACAGGTGAGGTTT